CTGAAGCCCAATAAGGAAAGATCATATATATAGATACATGGATATATAGATATATGGATATATAGATAAATAGATGTATAGATATCTGTATATATAGATATATAGTATAAGGAAAATATGTCAAATATTATATGCTTTTTTAGGAGTCAGTGAAAATAAATACTGGAGTGTATTTAAGTTTAAGAAGCAATTTATAAATTGTATTTTCATGTTTTCAGCAAGGGTATATTATGACACCAGAGCTCTTTTTTGTGCAGAGGATGCAATGACAATAAGTCATTGTATGTTTTAGTGGGGATGCAATTGCACAGACAGTGTCATAGTGCTAAGGAAATGAGGTAAAATGTGGCATGTACAATAAGGATCTCATTTCATATTTCTACTCATGACTTTTTGCTATTCCCTCCTGCGTTTTTCTTACCTGTAAAATGTCAATGTTTTTTTCTGCACCCATCAGTATAGGTAAGAACCAGTATATGACAGTGAAGTGTTTTCAAATCTAATTTCTTCTTATCCCTGAAGTGGTTGATACTTAAAATAGAAAAAAATAATTCAGACATGGACTTGAAAAATTTTACATTTAGTTTAAGACCCTTGAACAATCCTCTTTCCTGAACAGATTAGATTCTGTGTAGCTGATGTTGAGCTCCTTAAGCTCAGTTTGACAAGAATCAACACAAATTTCATGAATGTGCTTCAGTTTTCAAAGCAATGGAGAAATTTTGGTTTGCGAATTTACAGGAACCTGAAGGCAGAGAGTCTCTTTAGATGTATTATTTACACAGAAGTAACAATGGACAGTATCTCAAAATTATTCTGCAGTTCACATATATGTAAAAAAAAAATAGCCTTCTCCATTGCTTTTGAAATAAATATTTTTTTTTAATCTGGTTCTATTTCCTGTCTTTTTAGTTTTTAAAAAAGAACTGACTGATATAACATTAAAGAGGAATCTACTTTATGAACACATGTGTATGCTCTTTATGTCACACCATAAAAGAAATAGGATTAGTGCTTATCAGATCCTGAGGGCAGCATATTACAGAGATAACTGTCTTTCAATACCTTTACAAGACATTTTGATACAATTATCATAACTCTCCATCTTGTTTTGCACTTACAGAGTCACTTGCTTTTTTACAGGTATAAAATTTTTCATTTTGAAGTAATTTTAAATATTTTATGCCTTTGGTTGGCAGAAGAATATTTCACTATATATCAAAGAATAGAGAATTAATTTAAAGGCTATTAACCATTTCCATTAGTCTCAATCATTATGACAATAGGTCTTTTATTTCCAGGCTTCGTTCATGATTCTAGGAACTATGAGAATATTTCATATCTAGAATTCACTGCATGAATTTCCCTCAGCACACTGAAAACTTGCATAAATAAAGTTAGGCCAACAGTGTGAGAGCCAGGTCTTTTCCCATTACATTTTATGTCTTATAGAATAAATCAGTCAAACCATTCTCCTATTTAGTTGGAAATTTTCATTTGTTCTAAGGAAATGCATGCCAACTATCTTTAATTTTCCCCAGTTTGCATTAATGATTAAATAAGAATTTGATCAGAATTTATCTTCAGTATAGCAATAGAATGGCCTATTTATTTTCTGAATAAATTTTTCCTTCAGAGAAGTCTGCAGCTCATCTGGGGATTAATGATGTAACAGAAGTTGAATTAATGTAAACAATAAATTTTATAAAATGCATATAGACAGTTGCTAAGCTTGTAAGATGGGGAAGGCAAGATAGGGGCTGTGCTTGCTGCTCTGAGTTGCTTAATTTACCACCACTGCTTTAGTATTTAATATATTGTATTACTTATTAGTTTTACTGCAGTAGTTGGCAGAATGAGTCTCTAAGCACTCAGAGTCTCCAAACTGATTATTATCATAAATAAGGAGTCAATTCAAACTTCTCAGTAGAATATACAGCACAGGATTACAAACTTCCTTTTCCCTGGAGTGAGGAGAGGTGACTAAAAGTTAATACAAATAAAGAAACTGGAGGGCTGGTTGGATTTGAGACTCTGTTTTGCTCCAGGGGTGTGGAAAGTTGAAGGCTGTGGTTGCAGCCTCCTGGGTTGGTCTTGTTGCTAAGCTCTGGTTTCCCTCCCTCTGCAGAAGTTTTCTCCCCAGCAGCTGAGTAGTAATTGTGTCATTTCACATCCCTCGTTTGGCTGAGCAGACAACGGGATGAGAACACTTTGTTTCACAACTTTGTTGCTTTTGGATTGTTTAAAACTCTTGTATGATCTCAGCAATGAAGGGTAGAAAACGTTTTCTGTGTTTTAGATCTCACCTCTCAGGAGCTTGAAAATTACGTGGGGAACTCAATTTGGGATTTTTAAAATAACTGCTAAGAGGAGAAAATCCAGGAAGAAGTGTTGAGCTGGTATACTAAGTCTCATTTAGCAAAGATTAAATTAAATTGCATTAAGAAAAGGAGTAAGGCAGCAGGAAGTTTACAGAAAAGATTTGCTTTTCTGATTAATTTTTTCAGTTTCCTTGTTGCTATGCTCCCTCCTGTTTTGATGACTATTTTATTTGTAAAGAAAAGTCCCAGTATTTCCAAAGTCTGAAATAGACTTTTTCATGTAATAAAAGAATTTAAAAACAATTAACAGTACTTGAATAATGTCTGCTGTACAGTAAGCTCAATATAATCTAAATACATTTCAAGATAATGCATTTTTATGGTGATGATTACTATTACTTATTATACAGATGTTTTTTTCTGTGGTTACCTAATCTGTTTCATTGAGGAATTAACTTGACCTATACCTATACATTCTATTTCATTGTATTAATTTGCAGATAGACTTACTGGGAAACCTGTCCTTTCTTTTTTTATAGCAAATACATAAATAGGTTAATGAAGTATAACGAAAAAAAATAGTTATAATAAAATTAAGCCTAATGACATAATTATTTTCTTAACTTCATGTTGGAGACATAAAATTTGTGGAATAATATATAGATTAACAATCATAATAAAATAAAAATTGTTTTCAACAAATGTATCCAATTCATCCATATTACTTTCTCCTTTTTATAGATCATCATATATGAGATTTTCATCCCCAGGTCAAAAATTAATTAATAACATACAAAATGAAATCTAAATTTGAATTTCTTTTGTTATTGTGCAAAAAAAAAAAACAAAAAAAAAACAAAAAAAAAACTTTTTAATTAACACTTCTATAGGTACCTAAAAGTTTTATCTAATTCATTCCTAATTCATATATTTTAGGCATCAATACTGGCCTAAATTATAGATTATTAGATTCAACATGTTCTTAAGATTTTATATTGTGAAAATTAAATTTGGAAAAGATATCTTTAAGGCACAGTTTCAAACAGATATTGGACCTGTATGTGTGCATAGAACTATACAAAGCTAAATTACATAAAATTAAAACTAACATTTATAGAGTACATATAATTTCTATTTGTAGACATAGAACATACTAGTATATATATATATCATGAATATTTCTCACGCATCTGAACTATTTAGAATAAAAAAAATGCTTATTTCATGTTGTCATCAGTTGTAAATCCTTCATTATACAGGTATATATATATCTTATGTTCGAAGATAGCAGGCACCACTCTGAGTAAATAACAATGAGTTTTATTAGGGCTTTTTGTACTTATACCCATATATGCACATACCATACCTCCATGGGCCTAGTGAAATTGCACTGAAGATCAACTTAACATATAACTATAAAAATCAGGATTTCCTGGTGGTTTTGTCCTTATTCCCAGTACTTCTATTCTCTTGTGAATGTGAGCTAAGTGTCACTGAAGTGTAAGTTATTCGCAGAATTTAATTATGCATCTATTTAAACATGTTTCTTCTTTAGTCCGAAATTAATATTGTGCACATTGTTAAACATAAAGGTGAGGGTTTTGATGTTTTACATGCTTTTCCAAAGAAATTCAGATTCCTAGCCGTAAAATTTTACAAATTGTTTTTTGATAAATATGGTAAGGATGTCAGTCCCATGTCCAAGCCTTACATGGGTGAAGAGGCAAGCTGCAAATTGCCATAGAAATTATTTAAATGAAGATTCAGTGGCAAGAGTAATATCTTGACATTCAGAAGAACAGAGGTCTAAAAACTATTTTTTTGTAAATTAGAAACAAATTATGTTTCTTTTACAAATCACAGAATATCAGTCACCTTGTAATTTTTAATTTTTCACTGTCTTATACCAACAAAAAATAGAATGTTTGTAAAATGTAACTTCATGTCAGGTGCTAAACTTATAAAGTTTTAAAGCTAAACTTAATTTACATTTCAGATAGTTTCTTCCTATATTCTTGTCCCATGTTTAATAAATTGACCTTCAATTTATTAATTATTCAATTATTTAATAAATAGACCTTCAATAAGAAGAGCTCCTGACAATAAACCAGAGGAAAGGAAAGGAAAGGAAAGGAAAGGAAAGGAAAGGAAAGGAAAGGAAAGGAAAGGAAAGGAAAGGAAAGGAAAGGAAAGGAAAGGAAAGGAAAGGAGGAAAGGAGTAAAAGAAAGTTTTTTTTAACTTAATTCAGTAAAAAATGGCATGGAATTTTTAGAACCCTTAAGAAACAGTAGGACATATTCTTGTTACATTTTCTTTTTTAAAATGTATTGTTAATCAATGTTTTTAACAGTATTGGTAACAGAATATGGAATATACCACTACAATTGGATTAAACTGGTAGAGCATAACAGCATAAATTTTCACCTGAATTACTGTGGTAACAAAAAACCCCTCAAATTTAGCATGCAATTTGATGGTAAAGCCATGCAACCTGAAGGCTATCTTTTGCTATCTGTCCACTCTTTATGCTGGCCACATGTTTCCTCCTCTCCCTTTTATTTGGTGACATAGCAAAATCTTACCTGAATGGTTGATGAACCATTCTGGAAGTTAAAAGGGATAAATGGGTTTCTTATCTTTTGTGTGTCATAGTAGTTTTGTATGACTTAAGTCCCTAAATGGACTCATTGAAGGTTCAAACCAGAGAAGAATTAGGTATTAAAGGAGGTGAAGACAGAAGTTTTCTTTTTGATAGTAGACGAAAAACAGAAGAAAAACAGTTTGAAGAGATAATCGACGATGGTCTCTCGCTCAAAGAACAGGTTGGGAGTAGCTAGTCAGTAGATTGGCTTAGCTGTAACCTCAGCCAACACTTTTTGTCAGCCAGTCTCAGTGGCAGACAGCCCACCTTTAAATCATTCTACCAGTCCTGTTTATGCAGCATTTCTGTGTCATACCCAGCCTTGCTACAACTCTGTGGCTGCAACAACTATGCATTTTACTCTTCTTTGCATTAGTGCATCTAGACATGGAATGCAAATTCATCTGTACTGAGGAAACCATCAGCAATACTGAGGAAATAATCAACAATACTTGGGAAACAGAGAATCTTTTGAAGAAAGGGATTATGAATTTTAAAATAAGTCCTTACCATGAGTTATATTCTATCCATTCTCCCCATTTGGCCCTGATGTTTTTTCCCATCTCAAGGCAGCTTTTGCAGGAGCAGGCAATGGATGTCTCTATTTAGCTTATCGTCATGCTTCAGGGCATTTGTATGAAAGCTATGTTATGGGAGGGGAAAAACATAGCCATTATACTGTACTGATATCATATATCTAGGATTATTTTCTGGAAAGTTTCTTTTTTTCATTACTTAAATCTAGCCATGAAATCTTAGCTCCACATAAGTCTTTGTGATAATTTTGGTGCTAATCATTGTTTCTGATCCTCCTTTTCTTCTGCATTCAGACAAGCAATCTATACATTAGTGATTTTTTCATCCTCCCCTCTGAAGAAACACATATATATGTAGAAATAAATTGTATTATTTTGTAGCAGATGGACTATATGGAAATATTTTCTAGAGACATTTAATCTTTGTGCTATTGTGCTGGTACAGTATATGGCCTCTATGATTATACACAATGTATCTTTTGGGCATAGATCATAGCTTCATTTTATTTATGTTCCTTTCAGACTGGCTGCATATAACAAGCATTCTGTCTTGCTAATTGACTCTGGTGATCCCTTTAAGTCCTGATTAAGTTCTATTATTAAATTATTAAGACCTTTCCCTAGTGTTCTAGATTTTTTTTCCCTTTAATTTTGAATGTCTACTTGAAGCAATAAATAACCTTATGAAATAATTTTTCTCTTTTTTTCCTGTGCACATATTTCAAGACTGTCAGGCTGGCAAAGCATTAGAGTTCGAGGTTATAAAACAAGGGATTTCACCTGGAATAACTTTGAAGGATGTTTATAGTGACATTTTCATACTCTAAGTTATCTATCATTACCCAATGGATTGCAGCAGTTTTAATTACTAGACAGAGAAGGAAAAATAAAACTACGTAAAGCTCACAAATAAACTTCCTTTCAAATACATGGAATATTTTATGCTCTAAAATTGTGTGATGCAAAAAAAAAAAAAAGGCTTTTGAAAGAGAGATTCATATTACACCGTGATTTATTCTTTTTTTTCAGGCTTTGATTATCTAATGTCTTTCTAGAAAGCAAGAGTTTGCATATATATAATGACTCAAGTTTATGCACACACGTTATTGCACTCATTTATGCTATAGCCTATACATTCTTCTGATACCTCTGTTAATATAAATAGATAATATTAGTAGGTAATAAATAGGTCACAAAATTAAAAGATTATTTAGTGCTGGGGAAGGAAATCAGAGATATTTAACAAAAAAGTTTTAAAATTCAAGAGAGTGATATCATTTAGTGAAAATAGATATATTATATAAAAATAAATGTTTTATTTTCTGTTTTGCATATATAACTGCAAAAAGCAGATATTCTGATTGACTGTATCAAAAGCTGGGAAAAACTATTCAAAACCTGGGGATTAAAAACCATACTGATCATATTATTTTTGGTTTGTTTTAAAAAAACTTCATTTTAGTATCTTTTTTTTTTTTTAAACAAGCTCAGTAGTTTTAAATGGAAAAAGAATTCATGTTTTTTGCAAGCAAATGAATTTTAAACTGATATGCTGTTTTTTTATATCCACATCAATAAGACTAAGCAATTCTTTTCAAGAATAGCTGTTTTTCTGATTGCGCTATCTTAATTTTTTTTGTTTTATCTCCATTAAGTGACCTGCTGTAAACTTTGGCTTTTGAAGCCCAAGTTTTCCTTTGTGAAGCAAGCACATCTGAAACCCCACATACACATTTAAAACAGTAATAGGATGTGACAGCACAACATGATTCAATCATGTCAGAAGATGAGAGTTGTAGAGAGAGATCAGTGGTGTGGGGTTTTTTTTTGGTCTTTCCAAATAGCTGTTGCTTTTAGCAGGTTTCATTGAAGCAGGTGACCTCTTCAGCCTCATACAAAAGTAGAAACAGCTAAATTCTGGTCTATTGGAGTAACTGGGTCTTACAGAAGGCTAAATATGCATAGTGTTAAAAAACATAAGTCCTATTGTAAAGAATGACATTTTAATTATGTAAATGATAAAATCTCTCACATTGCAGAATCCAGATAATTATTTATCTCTGTCTCATGCTGCTCTTTTGACTCTCAGTTTTTATTTTATTTTTATTATTATATTTTGCTTTGGCCTAACAGCCATGACATACATTTAATCAGGTCTAACAGCCACCCATTATATTTTGTAATTCACACTGAGAGTTCAAGTGACCAAGGCTATAAAAACTAAAATACACTTCAAATAACCACAGGAAACATTTCATTCCCTCCATAATAGCTTCCGTGTTTACACTATGGTGGTATTTTCCTGCTGCTCCACACTGCCAGGTAATAACACCTCTTGCTGTTTAGCAGTAAATTGTAAATATGGGAACCAAAATTTCATTTGGACACTATCTGCTTCAGAAAGGAAGGATTCAGCAAATAATGGTTGATTCAGTGTCCTGTCATTATTACCCCTCCCAACCCAGGAAAATTCATTAACTGATTTGCATCTCAGACATTTTTTAATGGTATAGTCATGAATTGATTGTGTTTGGTTGAGGGTCAAAGCACATGAAACTGATGAATATATACATATATTGAAAGATATTATGCATCTTGACACATCAGCTTCAGAGATCATGCTGAATATCAAAATGACATAATATGCTTAACTTAAATAAGATATATTTTATTTTCATAGAATGGTAGAATCACAGAATCATAGAATGGTTCAGGTTAGGAGGGACTTTAAGATCATCTACTTCCAACTCCCCTGCCACAGGCAGAAACACCTTGCACTAGACCTAGTTGCTCAATGCTTAGATACTTTCCTAGATATTTATTTAAAAAACAGTGTTTTCCTGTAAATATGTTGAGCTGTTGGAAAACCAGATAGAAAGCAGTTTATGATTGCAGAATCCACAAGTTTTATGTGATTGTCTTGCAAAGTGCTTCGCAGAGACTGAAAAATTTTACTCATAAAAACCACAACATCTGTTATTACAAAATAACAACAAAAACATCAAGTAACCAAGTCACAGGAAATTAAATAAAAGAATGGGAAAAAAAATATATATATATTTTGAGGAGGTTTTGGCAAAGGAATTGGAAATATATACAATAAAAATGTGCAAGGTGTGACTTATTAAATAGCAAACAATCTATTCAACTTATTTAACTGCTTTATATATGTAGAGTGTGGCTTCTGGAAAGCAATTTTTCTTTTGTTTTTCTTTTTTTCTTTTTTTTTTTCTTTTTTACTTTTAACACATAAAACCAATGAATTTAACTGCTCCAGACAGATTGTCTTGACTTCAGTGTCATTCTACTGGGAGTAGATTGCCTTGCAATATTGCAGAATGAATGGACCTCTCTGGATCTATAACTGTTAACCTCTTTCTCTATAAATCCCTCTTTGGGGCTTTTGGGTTTAGTTTAATCTTAAAATTGTTTTATCTTTTTGTAAAAGTTAACATTATGGTGAATTTTCTTCTAGACCTTGAAAAACATGGATTTTTAAATTTTTTTTTTCATCTTCTGATTATATGTTTAAATGTAGTCTTTTGAAATATTTCCTTTTGTTAAAATTTATTCACATTCCTATAGAAGACATATAGTTCTTTACTATCTCTTCAAAAGGACAACAGTTAAATCTGCTTGTCAAAAAAAGAAACTATTTTAAATTAACAGTTAATAATTATGGAAACAGTTTTCATTTAGGATAGCTTGTTGTACTTCCATCTCCATAGTGCTTCTGTTAGGAGCAACAGAAACTACTTGTTATAGGTTGAAACAGATATTTTCATGTGGTTTTGTTTGAGAGAAATATGGGAGACCACACATGTGAAGACATACTGCACTCTATTGGCAGATGGTAATCTACAGGTGTCAACTAGACCATTTTTTTTAAGCTTCTGTATTTTATTCAGTAAGAGTAAAAATTAAGGTTCTGGGGTTGGATTGAAGAATTCTGAAGAGGAAATAAATTTTTACAGATATGGCTTCTTAATACAACATTTGAAACTATCTCTTTAGCAAAATGTTTTGGCTTGAGAAATGTAAAAGTTCATTTTATGCTTCAGCTTATTTTATTAAATCATATCATGCCTTCATACTTTGGACCTGGACTCACAGAAGAAAATCTTGTAAAAAATTGCAGTTTCAAAAATTTTCTACCAAATTGAAGTGCTTAAAATATCTCCAGCTGGAATTTTAGCCCATAGAATGACTGAAGTAACTGAACTGTCTTCTTAGCAGTATACCTGCCTCTAGCAATCCTAAAAGTCCAAGTCCTAAACCAGACAGATACACTGGAAACACAAAATTTGGGGTTTCCTGTGGTAATTGTTGTTTTGGCATATACAATCATAAACTATGAGGGTAAAATTTTGTGGAGATTTTAGGGATTGCTTAAGATGAGAGGTTTGATAATGATTATGCTAATTACTCTCTTTATGGTGATAACCTTATCTTTTACAGAAAATTATAGCAATAATGTTGTATATCATGCTGATAAGGAAAATCTTTTATGTTCAAGAGTGTTTTATTCTTGCTCTAGGATAAAGCTATAAAACAAAGCATAATAATTTTAGCTTGACCAAACTGTGAACAAGATGCCCTGTGTTACCTAAAAGGTACCCCAAGGCAGCACATAAATTTATTCCAAATCAAAATGCATCA